TCACATCACTTGAGCGCTGCTAAAGCTCAGGGACATGTTTGAGAGCCAAGGGAGAAATGGACTAATGTTAAGACACATTCTTTCTAATCCCAGCCTTCAAAAACACTGTAATGCTCAGCAGCTAAGCTAAAATTTGCTTTTGTGACCTTTTAAAGAGAAAACCTGCATTGCAGCAACAGTCCCCCCCCAGCGAGAAGGCAACACTCGTGAGCCAAGGTCTACATGATTAATGTGTTTTACTCAGTATGTACACAGTTCTCCAAATAAATTGGGCCATACAAAGGCAGTTTAGGAAGTGTGAAGCATCCTCCCTGCCAGGTGTCACATGGGATATGTCTTTGGCTTTGCCTCCTCCAGCTCGGCATCCAACCAGCGGAACCCGCGGTGACGGCGCAGGACTTCGATGGCTTTTTGCTCCAGAGGTGTTGGCTGAATACCCAGGTCTTCAAAGCCAGGAAGTTCGGGGTGCTTCATGTCTGTTGTGTGAAACTTCAACAAGAACGGGGAGGGGAGGGAGAACAAGTTAAAAACAAAAACAAACAAGCAAAAAAGGGAATTCACTTGATAAAATCAACAGCATTGCACCCAATGTAATCACTCACATACTGGGGTTTTTCTCACTACTTTGCCTTAAGAAGAGGAAAAGACTCAAGGTGGCCATACAGAACTGTGGCTTCATAACACAAGGTATTGGGTACCAGTGACCTCAACAGGAGATACAGGTGTTCTGCATCCAGCAAAATGCCCTTCAGGCTTCAGGTTCGGATTCAGGACTAAAGAGCAGTGAGACATGCAGGAAGTGTCTTCCTCTTCTCCCCATACATTATCAGGGAGGTTACTGCCTTGCAACCACAAAATTAAGCCACACTTGCAAGGGAAGTTCACACTTCAACCCAAATTATGTACATTCTTCTTTGTCCAGAGAATGAGTGTGGAATTGTCACCTCTGGAAGGTTGTTTTGCTCTGCTCGTGGTTTAGAACAGGGACATATTTAATTCCATTACCACATTTGGAACACATATGACCTAAATCTTAGCACATGTAGATTCCCCTTATGCAGTTGTTCCTTGAAAGGTCTTTAGGTCAGCCATGTGTAATACTGTATGGACTATTTAAGGATGAAAAGCTGGGAAAGAGGAACAATCAGACACAAAGCGATGTGGAGAAACTCCCCTCTCACATCTATACCCTGGGCCAATAAAGCCTAGAGAATTACAACACCAATCTCTTCAGTATGGCAGAAATCCTCCCTTCCTTTATTCCACAGTTTTTGACACTGATTTTCAATCAGAACAGGAAACCAGTTTATTTTACAGATGGAGAAATGTCCACACAGAAATTCATTGCTTAGAGCTATTCAGTGAGCAGCCCTAAGCACAGGACTCAGTTCTCCCAGATTCACAGAAGTACCCTGTCTCAAATTAATTTGGGGACAACCAGGTCAAAATATCAGGCTACTGATACTGTGTTAGAACAAAAAGTATTGAAACTCCAACTCTGAAAAAATAGTTGGGAGAGTCCCTCCCCCCTCAGAGAGCAGCAGGCTTGGGGACTGAACATGATTTTATCTTTGCTAGCCTACACATATGCCAAGGTTTGACACTAATACTTGCTAAATCCTACTTTTTCCCTTGCTTGCAGTTGTTTTTCTCCAAGTTACTTCTCCACCCCCACTGAAACAAACTGAGAAGTCAGGAATAAACATGAAGCTGCAACATTTTCCTGAGAAATACACTCTAATGTTAAGTGAGAACTTGGGCTGTATCCAGAGTTGTCAGTTCAACTTCAGTTACTAAAAACACCATTATCTGGATGATGTAAGTGCCTTTAATGCATCTAGAGGTACACAAATGGACCTAAGAGAGGGGGGAGCATCTCTCCTTTGGCTTTGCTGTTTGCAAAAAACACAAGCCTGTGTTTTTGGAGAAGGGGCCAGAGACACGGTGGAACAGGCAGCCCTGACCACTTTTAGCACTTAAGACATTATTTTTTTTTAAAAATACCCATTTTTGTACCATCCACACAGTCTGAGAGAAATTCTTTATGCCCAAATTCTGGCCACTGAGTGAAATGCCCCACACCACCTGATGTACAAACATTTCAGCACTCCCTGAATTCAAAGCCCCAAGTGCAAGTCACAAACACACAACGAAACGTTTCCCCAAGAAGGATTTGGGGGGTTGTCCCACACACTTACCCTGTCCACTTTGTCCCGTGTTGTCCATGGTTCAAATGGATTCATTTCAAAGAACCTTGCAACAAAGCTGCAAACAGAGAGGGCATTGCAAAAGTACAGTCATTATTCACATGCATGGAAGACAACGAACTGGTAAAAATATTTCACACATAACAGTGAGCAAGAGCTCGGTTTTGTAGCTGTTCTTGCAAGCTATGAATTCATTAAAGCAGCAGCCAAACAAGTTCTTAGTTGTGTTTCTGGTAACTTAAGCTGTTTGCTACTGAATTTCTGGATATTCTATTATTTTACTGAGAGAGGGAATGGAGAAGCAAACACCTGGAAGTAAAAATGAGTGTTAGTGGGTGGGGAAAGTAAATCCCCACATCCAACTCCCCACACACCAGAGGCGTTCAGTCCTGCCCCTGGCCTTTCATCCAAACTCTGATCCCCAGTGGTGTGGGCAGCAATCCAATTAGTCACCCATTTTCCTTCAGTGCCTCCATGAGAAAACACACTTGCTGACAACTAAATGAGTTATCGGCCCTAGAAACAAGATGATGGAATCTGGCGCAATCTATAAAAAGGATGAGGATTAGTACATTTGCAGTTTTAAGAAGTGAAGTTTCCCTTCACACACAGAAAACCTGATATAAAAAATAAGGCTACAGCTCTTGCTCAGTGTCTCAAGACCAACAGTGGAATCTCTTACTGAAGTGCCCACCTAGCAGAGTTTTTTTTTTTTTTACTAAGTTATTGCATGTAAACAGAACTAGGTTTATCTGCCTTTCAGGCTCAGTCTTTTCTCAAAAACATGAAATATCACTTAGTTTAGCCCACAAATAAAGAAGTGCAACATGGACTGCAGCAGACATGAATAAAACTAATAAGCACTCTTTCAACAAGCTGCTCTGTGTGAGCTGAGCCAGGTTAACCTCATGCCTCTTACAACTAATACAGAAACAGTCACCACAGTTTAAGATGTTCTTTCCCTTTTTATCCCCCAATTCATTACCATCTCCTAAAGATGTTACTGTCCTCATATCACAGACAAAGAAATGCTTGCTCACAGCCACACTGCTCAAATTGCCAGGCCAAGATCTCAGGATAAACTTACCACCAACACTGGCCCAAATCAATACAAAAGCCAGTTTCTGCCATCCAACACGTTAAATAACAACTGGCCAGAGCAAATAACCAACACAACAGGTATTTATGCTTCTGTGTTGCCTGCCAGAGCCCCAGGTTCTTAGGGGATCATAGAATGACAGGATGTGTAAAGTTGGAAGGGACCACTGTGGATCATGAGCTCAACCAGGGTCATCTCAGAGCACAGGGCACAGGGTTGGGTCCAGACAGCTCTGGAATATCCCCAGGGAGGAGACTCCACAGCCTCTCTGGGCAATCTGTTCAGGGCTGGGTCACTGCACAGCAAAGAAGTTCTTCCTCATGTCCAGCTGGAACTTGCTGGGATCAGTTCCTGCCCGTTCCTCCTGTGCCATTGCTGGGCCCCCCGAGCAGAGCCTGGGCCATCCTCT